CTTCTCCAGCAAAAAAATCTCCATATCAACTGTCTGCGACATGGAGGCTTATTGTGGAAAGTACTTCGTGAAACAAAATTCTAACACATTTTCTCCAATTTTCAAATGGGCAACTAGCTTATCATAGAGTCCATTGCTTCAGAATTTGGAAAAAATCTATGAAACCCCACTAGCAAATCAGGATAGCCTGCAACCAGCCCAACAACACCTCGATCTGTACGCATCAACCAAATCCTTGCAACCGATTTCTGTATGCACGGAAAGTCATCAAAAAGTCTTTGGAAACCTTCTCGTTGCTGTGCATCTCTACCTTCCTTACAAATCGATGGCTTCTTCAAACTCCTTGATATCCTTTTCTGCGGCTATTAATGCTTCTCGATGCAATCTTGAGAAGCTCAGAAAGCTGAATAAAATAACAAACCCTAATTATTAATACTACTACTATTTAGTGTTTGCTTAATAATATTTATTAATATCCAGGGATCCGTGGCGCAATGGTAGCGCGTCTGACTCCAGATCAGAAGGTTGCGTGTTCGATTCACGTCGGGTTCAATCGCCTCCCACGTCGCTTCAATGTATTTTTCATATATAAAAGAACTCCGCACTCTATCCTCAAATCAGTGCCGTCCATTTTCCAGATCCTTGCCAAAAAAAGTACCATCACAGCCATCAGACGACCATCTTCATCCCGGATAATAATGACCCCACGCACCCGCATCCAACACATCCATTTCCCAAATCCAATTAAAAACGTATTTGATAGTGTAATTCTGACTGTTTTTTAAAATATTTTTTATAAATATAAAAAATATATTAATAATATTTTTTTATTTTTTAAAAATTATTTTTAAAATTAACATATTAAAATATTTTTGAAAAGTACTTCTAAACGGCCACTAAAACATGTTTTGCACATATCTGACATTAGTAAACAAACTGCAGCTTTAGTCCTTGAGGGATTATAGTTTTTGAATTAGGTACCTAAAGGTTGTTCTTTTTTCTTTTTCTCACGTTCACGTATAATAGCCGGTCTAAATTACAATTTATTTCATAAAAAAATTAACTATTTTAAAGATAGTTTAATGTGTTGAGTGATAACCAATCTATTGCTATATTTTTTAATAAAAAAATTACTGAAAAATGTTTTAAAAAACAATAACTATTATATTTATAAACGAGTTCTTACTAATATAAAGTAATATTGATATGTGCAAATTTTAAATTTTTTTATGTAAATTTATATAAATTTTAAGCTCAACAAACATTCAATTAAAACCTATATTAGAAACTAATATGAAATCATATCTCACCAATCAACTTAACCTACTAGGTTTAACCAGCAATAAATATCTTTCCAGGTAATTCCACAGGACTGTTGTCGTCTATCCAAAGGTACACCCAGATGCAGGCCTGGTTCGTAAGTTCAGTAGGGAAAGACACTTAACTGAAATAGGATAATAAATTGATATAGCAGCAAGGTCAGATCGAGCTGTTTATGCTAGGAAACTAGAGACCATTATTAATTAGCAGTGCCAAATCAATACAAAATATATATCCATTAATTTAGACTGCCCAAAATCATTAATCCCCCAAACCCTCACCTCGTTCCTTCATTCCTCCCACAGAAAAAGATGAAAGCAACTGGCTCTGGCAAATGGTGCAAGAAATTCAAACTAGCTGCTAGAGTCTACAAGAATAAACCAAATTAATTTGTCGGCACACATCAAATTCAATTCCCAAAGGATTGCAAAGTATTCAAAGTGTATACACTACTATCATCCATGTCATGCATGCTGGCTGCTTCAAGACGGTTCGGCACATACACTATGAATTCACACAACGTAAGTTACTGGAAACAGCTCAGAGAAGGCAGGGATGACGATAACTAATAAGGATCTCGGCGAAGGCCACCTGCAAAAATACAACCCTTTCTGCATCATCAATAAAGTGAAACCGATGCTAACATTTAGCATCCTGAGGCCGCATTTGCGGCTGCTGGGCCACGATTAATAACAATAAACTATCAGAGCATCACCACTAATTTAAACTTCCTCACCGTTTAGGCTTCAAATAAATTTGTAGTTCAATCTATCTTTGATTTTAGTATTTTAACATTATTTTAGTAGTCATCTTAAACTATCCAGGGATCCGTGGCGCAATGGTAGCGCGTCTGACTCCCGATCAGAAGGTTGCGTGTTCGATTCACGTCGGGTTCAATTCTCTCCCCCGCCGGATCAATCTCTTTTTTTTTTTTTTCTTAATTAAAAACTCCGCACCCTATCCTCAAATCATACACCCTCACCCACCATACCATTCCCCCTACCCTCCCTTTCCCTCCACCAAAATGGCACTCTTCGCTCGCCTCCGCCTCCAGTTCCTCCACCTCCGCCACCACATCAACTTCTCCACCTCGCCACTGTCCTCCAAATCCAAAACACGCGCCGCCCTCTCACTCCTCAAAAGCGAAACCAACCCCGAAAAAATCCTCGAAATCTGCCGCTCCGCTTGCCTAACTCCCTACGCCCACATCGACCGAATCACCTTCTCAGTCGCCATTGACAAGCTCGCCAAATCCAACACCTTCTCTTACATCGACGACTTCTTAACTGATCTCCGCACCTCACGCCCTGATCTCCGCACCGTACGCTTCGCTGCTCACTCCATCATCCTCTACGGCCAAGCTGGCATGATTGATCAGGCGATTCGGCTTTTCAAGGAGTATCATGAGAAGAATCAAAATGACGTCGTTTTAACCTCTGGGTCAGTGAAATTGTTGAATGCCTTGCTGTTTTCGTGTATTTTAGCAAAGAAATATGATGAAGTGAATAGGGTTTTTGTTGATTTTAGTAAGAGGTACAAAATCGAGCCGAATCTGGAAACTTTTAATACTGTCATTCAGTCATTTTGTGAGAGCGGGAGTTCGAGTTCGTGTTATTCGGTTTTGAATGAGATGGATATGAAGGGAGTGAAGCCGAACGAAACCACTTTCGGGCATTTATTTGCGGGGTTTTATAGGGAAGAGAAGTATGAGGATGTAGGGACAGTGTCGAAAATGATAGAGGAGGATTATGGGATCAGTCCTGGGATTGGTGTTTATAATATTAGGATTCACAGTTTGTGTAAACTTAAGAGGGCGAGAGAAGCGAATGTATTGTTAGAAGGGTGTTTATCGAAGGGAATTACGCCAAATGGGGTTACGTATAGTCATTTGATTCTTGGGTTTTGTATGGAAGGTGATTTGGAGGAAGCAAAGAGGTTGTTTAAGAGTATGGAGAATAGAGGGTGTCAACCGGCTTATAGCTGTTATGCTACTTTGGTTTACTTTTTGGGTAAAGGTGGGGATTTCGAGTCGGCCTATAGGGTTTGCAAGGAGAGCATGGGGAAGAAAATGGTGCCAAATTTTTCAACTATGAAGATTTTAGTGCAAGGGCTTGCGAGTAGCGGGGAGGTAGACAAGGCGAAAGAGCTTATTGGTGAAGTAAAGGAGAGGTTTTCCAAGAATATCGAGTTGTGGAATGAGATTGAAGCTGGGTTGCCTCAGTAGCAAATGGGATATGGTAAGATTTTAGTTTGTTTGATGGTTCAAGGGAACGTTGTATAGGAATGGGAACCTTCTATGCTGGTTTAGAGGAAATAATAGTTTTTCATCTTTCGCTGTTGAATTGTGTTGAGCATAAATTATTGTTGAATGAAAATGTTTCTTTGCTTTGATGAAGGTGAGGTTTCAATTTTTTAGAATCATTTTTCTCTGTACTCTCCCTTTATATGCCATGTAAGCTGTCTGAAAGACGACAAATTCATCTGATTCCTGGCATTGAATTGATTTAACTCTCCAGCTACTATATACGGGCCACAGGTGAGGTTGTTGCATTCAAGGGCATAACAAGATCAGGCCTTGGACACTTTCTTTATTTTTTCATAACATATATTCACAATGTCCAAGAGTGCCCTAGACTTTTTTTTTCTCCCTTCTATATTTATAGAGATTTATAGAAAGGAACATCCAAGCTTTTGTTTTGCAGAATGTCTACTCGTTTATCACTATAGCTCACAACATTAGCACATCTGCCATTAAGTTTAGATGACTGCTTTAACTTATCATCACAGCTTTTACTTTCTTTTTAGAATTTCCATATTTATCTAGTTCTTTGCAACCGAAGGTGATAATCTTACACTTTCTATTTTGACTCATTGATGTGTTTACCTCACCTTGCTGCTTTCACTGCTGATTGTTCCTACTTGCTGTGATATTCAGCTTCGAAAAAGCAATAAAGTGAAAGTCTGATTGCCTCAGAAAATCATACATGCCATAAGCAATTTGATACATCATCTACACCAAACAAGTTAACCATGATGTTGAACTGAGGTGATGTTTTAAGGGAAAAGATGAGTTGAATCAGAACCTGCAGGAGCATTGCCCTAAGATGAGCTGAATATCCAATAATTGAATCTGACTTAGTGTCATATGCTGTTGTTTATGAAAGTGAACTGCATGATGCAGGCATTCTTTATATTTGTCTACTGTCAAATAAATACAAGAGTTATTCTATAAACCATCAATCCAGGAAACAGGAAAATAACCTAAATTAACGCACCCAGTAGGACCGCATTTGCAGTAGGAATGTGATAGTAACATATGTTATCATCTTGGTCTGACTAATAAAGACTCTTGTGGTTACTAATATATGGCCGGCATGACTTCTAGACAAATTCAGGCGGCAGAAAAGTTCTCAAATGATGTCACAGCATCAATTCTAACTTTACAATTCAAGGGACATAGCTATAGTCTATAGATGCTGGAGTATGCATTTCGATGACTTAGGAATCTTTGGTTCAATTTCTATCTCTAGTCCATCCTTGAATGTTGGCATTGGATCTCTAGAAAAAGAAATGTTTTGGCAACAGAGCTTCCATGTGAACCTGTTCACCAGGTAATGTATTGTAATCAGAGTTTCAAGTCTTGCAAATTCATATCCAGGACATATTCTATCTCCACCGCCTCATGCTACAAAACTGTATGGAGGGAGGAATGCTGATTTCTTGAAATGTCTTGGTTCAAACTTCGATGGATCTGGGAAGATACACTCATTCATGTGTGTCATGCAGGCTGACCAAGCTACCTGGAATAAATAGTTCAAACCTAAAGCATGTTAGCATGTAGCATGGTATTGAGCTATAACAAATAGGGGGATTGTGTCACACCTGCCATCCTTTGGGAATAAGGTATCCTTCATACTCCAAATCTTTAACGACCCTCCTGAAGGAAATGAATACAGGAGACATTATCCTTAGAGACTCCAAAGCTTCTTTCCATGTGTATTTGATACTTGCAAGATCATTCTATGTTAGAAGCTCCCCCAAGGTCTTACTCCTGACAATTTTCACCTGTTCTGCAGTGCCATATTTTTCGACCATTTATGGTTTTATGCAATGGTAATCAATCTTTATTCAGTTGGGTAGTTGTTCCTTTCAACTACTGATTGAAGCATGTGAATGGCAAATTGATTGGCACCGATAGAACACCCTTCAGCAGTTGTTGAAATAGCTCTATATGTACGTCTCTTTTCTCAACTTGTTCAATTCCAATTATCAGTGAGCTCAAAATGTTGAATGTAAGGGTCTTCATCAATAGCATTGCCTATGTATTCAAGATAAAAGAAACATATTAAGATGTGCTGATATTTTCTGTTTGATTAATTTGACATACCGAAATCTTCTGCTTGCCATGCCAATGCATCTCAAAATGCTTCCTAACTTCTTCATCTATCTTACCAGCATATTGCTTTAACAGTTCAGGCTGGAGAAATGATACAAGGATCCCTCACGCTTGTGCTCATGTCCATTCAATTCCAGGATATTCCTCTCACCGCAAATTCTTCTTACCGATAATGGATGTTGATTGACAAGTGTGTTACCATCACAAGTATAGATGAACTTATTTGCAGCCAGTCCATGAAGGAACATTGTTGGGGTCCCAAAGAAGTTCATTTTTGAAATGGGGCCGCATTTTCTTATTCTATCCTGAAGCCATTTATCTGCAGTGTTTCATGCGCATGGCACGTAGGAAGCTCAGGCTATGGTCTATGATAGATAACCCCAAAGAAACTGGTGAGGCCTTATTGAACTTTTCCTTATCAGGAGAAGGTAAAGTGGAAGAAGAAAAAAGAAGCAAGGAGAAAAAGATTCAGGATCCATAGCTCCTATAATTATTGGTTTAAACCACACAAAATACCTAGAGAGGAACACTTCTACTTGTACGAAACATTGACTTAACAATCCCACTTACAAGAAACTCTGGTTTTGTCTCCTGTTGTTATCCTGGCAGATCTACACGTATTCAAGCATTTTGGTCTTGATGCTGATGCATATCACTTGTAGATGTATATGCTTCAAATCATAGATAACAATGATCTGAGTTTGAACCTTCCCATATTGAAAAATCTTAATTTCCTGAGGATTTGTCATGAGGTGGGTGGAATATCCAATCCAGAGCTGAACTAGTCTTCTATGCGGACGCCATCATGAGTACATGTTACACACAAAAATCCAAGATGCTAAATCAGCCTACTTGTCGGGAAACGTTGCAATGGTCTTGAAAGTTTTTCGGCAACGCATGTAAATCCTACTACTTCTTGTCATCCAGCAAGAAGAAGAATAGCCTTAAACAGCTTGGCCAACAGGTATATCTTGCTCTTGGGCTTTCTAGTAACACATTGTGTCACCCAGTCTATACTAATTAATTCAGCCCTTGTCACTACTGCAAGGCAGGATGTCATATTTTTGCCGATTTTGGACAGCAGAATTTCTGTTACTAAATACTTGTATATTCAGACAAAAGGTAACCGTTTTGTGTAGAACTGAAGAAAGTATTCAATAATAAAACCATCTTTTGTCCAAGTCTACTGTCCAATCTGAAGCTCTAAGTGATTAATGCAAAGTGATCAGAGATGCTACTTTATTTTATATATAAAGATTCTCTGAACAAGTTTATATATATCTATAGATATATAATATGTATCATGATCTGTTGAATATTGGATATCTAGCTTACCTCTTACAAGCCTAATCCAACGAAATAGATTGATGGTAAGATCTTGAAGAGTCTATGATCATTGAAATGTTTTAGGGAGAATTGGCTTGCTGGACTCGTGTTAGGATTCCATAGTTCATATATAATAACCAAACACGAGGAGGTATTGGGCTAATAATTCTTATTCGAGGTTATCGCACGAGATTGGGGTGCTTACGATCAAATGTCATTATTATCTTCAAAATATTGGTTTTGAAAGATAAAGAATCATCGAAGTAGTACTAGAAACTAGGTAAAGAATAATCAACCAAAAATCATCGTCGATCTTCACATTATCTAATCAATCATGTTTTGGAGTGAATATATTTGGGAGGTCACTTATGAGTTCAGTACTACACATTGTTTCTTTCATGGAGATGATAGATGCAGCATTCTTGATGGGCTATTCTGCTGAAATTCCAGTAGTAAATGTTTGACTGAGATGGAGCGCCAGTAGTTGGATTCTTATTTGCATTGCGTAGAGGGTGAAAGAATATTAGCGAAAGGGTAGAGTCCAATAATAGCGTCAATTATAACTTTGGTCGAGTGGAATAGATCCCATTATTGCAGAAGCATACACTTAGATGATTTCTCCAAGAATCTTTGGCTCGATTTCTATCTCTAGTCCATCTTTGAAAGTTGGCATTGGATCCCTAGAAAAGGAAATTTCGGTACGACAAAGCTTCCATGTGAACATGTTCACCAGGTAATGTACTGTAATCAGAGTTTCAAGTCTTGCAAATTCATATCCAGGACATATTCGAGGTCCTCCTCCGAATCCCATGAAACTATATGGGGGGATCGATGACTGCCTTTCGAAATGCTTTGGATCAAAATCCGATGGATTTGGGAAGATAGAACCATCCATGTGTGTCATGCAGGCTGCCCACATCACCTGCGGCAAAACATTTGAAACTCAGTTTTGATGTTCACAAATGATAAGAGAAGCAGAAGTAGAGTCGTATCACACCTGCCATCCTTTGGGAATAAGGTAACCCTCATAATTGAAATCTTTCAGGACCTTTCTGAAGGAACAAAATGCAGGAGGGTTCATCCTTAGAGACTCCATAGCTACTTTCCATGTGTATTTCATTCTTCCAAGATCATCCCATGTTAAGAGCTCATTGGAGGCCTTATTCTTGGCAATCTCTTCTTGTTCTGCAGTCTCACATTTTAGTATTTTGTTATTCATTAATTTACAATCATTTGATCTTTTTTATATTCATTTAGTTGCCTACCTTGAACAACGCCGGCATAAACAGATGGATCTTTGGCTAAAAGCTTGATCAAGAAAGTGAGGAGGATGGAGGATGTGTCATGGCCACCTATCATTATAATAATAGCATTATCCACAATTTCCTCATCAGATAATGCTCCAGAATTGTGATCGTTCCGCAGACTAAGCAAGTTAGTGATTAGATCTTGTTGAGGAGAGGCATTTTGATGGTCCAATGCAACCCTTTTTTCACGAATAAGATCCATGACGATTTCTCTGATCTTTTCACTTGCTTGGAGGCTACGGTTGAAGGGTGTGAAGGGAAAATTGATTGGTACTGATATAAGACCCTCCATCAGTTGCTGGAAGAGCTTTACTGGTACATCTCTTTTTGAACCTTGTTCTATTCCCATGATAAGTGAGCTCATAAGATTGAAGGTAAGTGCCTTCATCAATGGCATTGCCTGTGTCGTGAAGAGGAAAAAAAAAACAATTTATTAGCACAAAAGAAGCAAATTCACAATCTAGTGATAAGTGTTGTTGAAGATTGCTTCAGGACTGCTGTAAGTTTACGTTGCCTTTTTGTTCTGTTAGCTTCAGATTTTTATGTTTCCAGCAAATAAAAATTGTCTTAGTATGAACGAGTTGTTAGTTTGTTAGCACATCATAGCATGACTTGTTGCTGTTAGTTAGCATTTCAATTTTCTTTTACTACTATTTATTTGTAAGGATGCTTATAAAATAAATGCAACCAATAATCCATGTATGCAGCATACAAGTATTCTTGCAGTCTTTTAATCTCTTCTATTTCTTCCTTCACTTTATTTTTTTATTTTTAAAAACCATCAATTGGTATCATCAGAGCAGATCAGTCTTTTTAAGTAACCTATGATGGAAGCTGAAGTCAATTTCTTTCAAATTGCTCCTCTTATCTTTGATGAAGAAAATTACCGGCTTTAAGCAATGAAAATAAATAAAGATATACCTAAAGCATTAGATATGTAGAAAGCTATGGAAGAGGATTATGAAGTTCCTCCCCTGTCAAACAATTTAACCATGTAATATAACTGAACTTGTGATAACAAGTAATTTTGATCAATTAGGTATATTTTTACCATATTTAAATAAGGAGTTGCCTCAAATAAATTACATGAATAACCTAACATATATATTTATAGATCGGTAAGACAGGTTTAAGTTCAAGAAAAAATTTGGTCATGCTAGACTTAAATAAATAATATCTTTTATAATTTTTCTAGTTATTTTTGGATTTTATACTTTCTTCCTTTATAATCTTTGTAAATGATACAAGGAGACACACTATCACTGTTATTCAAGAGCAAATAAAATTTGCATACTTGAAGATTATTTTAATAGCCTCTTTTGTTCATTAAAATTCTTGTGTTTTTTCTTTATTTTTACTGTCTTCAACTTTTGCCTACATCACCATAACTCAGACCAAAAGTCACTAGAAAAGAAAAACCAGGAAGTCAAAGGCAAAAGTTTGTTTGTATGTTGTTGGTTCAACAACTATTTTCATCAAAATCATGTCTTTTAGATCAGCAAAAGACGTTTGAAATTATTTGAAGAAAGAATATGCAAGAAATGAAAGAATACATGGAATGCAAGTGACAAATTTAATAAGAGAATTTCAGTTGTAAAAGATGCAAGAGTCCGAGATAATCAAAGAATACTTAGACAAATTGCTTGGCATTGTTAACAAGGTAAGATTACTTGGCACAAGTATTCTTATTCTTCCAGTCTTTTAATCTCTCCTGCTTCTTCCTTTACTCTTTAAAAAATACAACTATCAATAAGATATCAGTTGAAGATGTGTTCAAATGTTGCTGTTCAACTTACCATAACCTTCTGCTTTCCATGCCAATGCATCTCAAAATGCTTTCTAATTCGTTCATCCATCATACCAACATATTGCTTTAACACTTCAGGTTTTAAAAATGATACAAGTGCTCCTCTGACACGCCTGTGCTCAAGGCCACTCAATTCGAATATATTCCTCTCGCCGCAAATCCTTTTTACTGACAATGGTTGCTGACAGGAAAGTGTGTCGCCATCGCAAGTATAGATGAATTTGTTGGCAGCCTGTCCTTGAAGGAACACTGTTGGGGTCCCAAATAGGTTCATTTTTGAGACAGGACCATATTTTCGTGTTCTATTCTGAAGCCATTTTTCTGCTGTATTTTTGCGCATGGCATTTAAGAAACTGAGGGTTTGGCCTATGATGGGTAAACCTAAAGAACCAGGTGGAAGCCTTTTGGAACTCTTCCTTGTGAGGAGGAAGTATAGAGGGAGAAGGAAAAGAAGCAAGGCAGAAAGGATTTCAGGATTCATTCTTCTTGCTCGAAACTTTGGCGCAAACTGCGGGTATATGAAATGTGTTGAGAATAATATCCTACCTGCAGGAAATTCTGATTCTTATTGCTCTTATTGTTGTCCTTGCCGGCCGGTCTACATTAGCAGTATTCCTGTATCTTTCCTAAGCTGCTGATGCTAAACAATTTTTAAAGCACCAAATTGTAAATAACAAGGATTTGATATACTTGAACGTTTCCAAATTGACAAATCTGAATTTCCTCCAGTGTTGTCATAAGGTGGGTGGAATATCCAAATGTGGCGAACCCAAAGGACTTACGCTTTTGTCCGCGGATGTAAATGTCTACGCTTTTGTCCGCGGATGTAAAT